CAGTCTTTCCATTCATCATAGTGAATTTCTTTGTTTTTGCAGAAAACCAATAATTCCAAGAAACCAGGAATCTGAGAAAATTCATATTTTATTTGAAATACTCTTTATTTTTAAAACCTATAGTTGATCTTGTAAATATTTAAATGGAACAATTCATTTTTAAAATTTTTGTTGTCACAAGCTTGTCAAGTTTAGTCGCTAAACTTATCTTTTTTTTTATTAAATGTAAACTGTGTTTTGTATGTACAGAGTAAATTATTTGTTGCTATGTGTTTAATGAACTATTTTCATACCCTCGTTTAGTTGCCAACGAATTACATCAGCACACGTTTTGATGATGTCATCATTTCTAAACTGTGTACTGTGGTTATTGGTGTTTGGTGTCAGCAATGATTTTGGTTTATTTAGTGAGTCCCGAGGCTGATTATAGAATATTTATCATGTCATATTTTACTATAAATTGCAGCAGGTCTTTATTCCAATGAATTAATCCAATTTTTGTCAATGAATTATAGATCTTCATTTTCAAAATGCAGAGAAATAACTATATTCTTCTATTCTTTAAAGGGCGGTGGTCGTCGCATCGCACATGTGCAATATTTATGATAAACATTGATTTCTCCCACAATCCAATGAGCTTTTCTAACGATGACTCTTTTGATACCTTCCAAGAAATTACATATTTAAAACTTAGTAACGTCTCAGTTCTTACATGTTAATCTGCACAACAGTTAAAGTCGCCATTTTTGTTCACCTTGCACATGCGTGGGACGACAACCCCCGCCCTTTAAAGTTACAATCCCACGTTGTAATTCTGTGAGGTACCATCTTCTGACTAATATGTACACAGTCAAATGTTGAGATTATAGATGAGTGATGAAAAATTAACTACAGAATATAAATTAAGTGAGTCTCCTAAATTAAGTTGGATTTGCAAACAATATACAATCACTGAGTTAGAAGACTTTAATTGTCCATGGAAGTCAGTTACTGTAAAATACTTTATTTGAACTGGAATTAAAATTTGTGGGTCTTTTCTATGGAATTTATTTTCACTGATTTTTCACAAGTTATAGGAAAAAAGGTATATGCACTGGATTTTATTTTCACTGAATCATCCCTTCAGTGAAAATAGCGAAAATAAAGTATTTTACAGTAAGACTCTGAACTTAAAATGAATGGGAAATTGAGGGCAGTATATCTATTTTTAATATATCATACATACAATGTTTTTAGCTTGTACTTGGAGTGTATGTTTTACATATTTGCAAAGTGGGAATGCTACTTTAACCGAATAAACTTTTTTCAGAAATACATTTACCGGTACCATCTCTTCAGAAGAGATTTACTGAACAAGTTCAAATTCATGTAATTTAGGGTCAGAATACAAGATTTTATTTGTATGGGGGTGGGGGTAATCCTGCCAAAGGGAAAATAAATTCAGTAAAAATAGAATCCAGTAAAGATACTTTTTTTTTAAAAAAACAAGTGTTTATTTGCATAATACAGCAAAAATAAATTTAGCTTGCAAGTTGGAGATCATTCCTCAAGCTGTATTAGGGTCTTGGAACAAAGATGTGAAATATTTTCACAAAGTGTGGGATATATAAACCAAACATCCAAATTTTAATGATTCACAGCACATCTGAATGTTGCTTATCTATTTGGCGTCCTATTTGATTGGTTGATTGAATTCTATGTGCCAGTGTATGCTTTTGAATCCTGTTCTGATGAAACCCCGAATTCACCTCTGTTCCATATTACTGTGGTCAAATACAAGATATTTTTTGGCTATAAGCACATATTCCGACCATCAAACATATCACATTAGCTTCCAAAGACCTTAATAAAGCCATAAGATTGATCATAGAGTGAAATTTTTGAAATTATTTCTGCAAAACAGTGTTCTAATTAGACTGAATAATTCAAGAATTTGACTTCCACTCATTTTTGAACCGTCCTCGTGAAACGTTATTCCCTGCTTAATCTTCAAAGACTTTTACCAAATTTTATCATGACATTTACATATATATGTATATTAAATGAAAACCAACTCAATATTAAACTTGATACAAGATATGAAACAAACAAAAACAAATAATTTCACTGATGGGACTTTGGACCAAGCCACTTTACAATTTTCTATGCTTGATCAGAATGTGTATTCTTAACTCAATGTACGTGTCTGGTGTTTTGAGTTGGATTTTACTGACACACTGACACACTGTTACCTGTTTCATTGTATTTGTTGCCATGATAATTTATGATTCTTTCTGTTAACACAATGTATAATGTATTATACATGTATACTATATAATTGAACAAAACACCATCATTCAGTTTGAATATTACACAATTGCAAACCAGCTTAACGTTATGGCATTGGGTGTAAGCTTGAGTGGTATATTGGAGTGCTACATTCAGACTGAATCTATTGATATTAATCTTTTGCTGACTATATCTCTGCCATGTGTTTGTCGGTTTATTCAGTAACAACTGAATTAGATAGTGGTGTTTGCATGAATATATGTATCGAACATCGCTTGTGCCGACCAACCACATTCAAAAGTAAAATACAATGGTTCATCACGAGACCACGGCGCATTCATAGTACTAACGTTAAATCTCAGACCGAATAACAATAGTTACTTGTATGGTGCAATAACTCATAATAATGATGATTGAAAATTTTATTTTGAAAAAAGTGCTGCTAAGAAGGGTATTATTCCTGCCAATTTTGGAAACAAGCAGTGGCTGAAACTACAAATGTGTGTTCACAGCCGCGCTTAGACATCTCACTTAATTAGCATAAATAAGCACATGACTCGTAAGTTTTATATGTCTTTGTTTCGGAAATGGTCATGTGATGAAAATGTCTTTGCCTGATATAACTTACTGTAAAATACTTTATTTTAGCTGGAATTAATTTTCACTGAAAAAACTTTTTGAGTGTTTTGTATGAAATTTAATGTAAAATATAGAAAAAAAAGGTATATTTGCTGGAAATTATTTTCACTGAATTTTGATGAGTTAAATATAAAATATAGGAAAAAAGGTATATAAAAGGTATCATCCCTTCAGCGAAAATAGCGAAAATTAATTACAAGCAAAAATAAAGTATTTTACAGTAGAGCTGGTTGATACTCCTGTCATCAGCGGTATTATCCAATCATCTTTTGTTTATGGCTACTATGTATAATCCATTACATCACCCATATCAACCAACCGTACTAACAAGTGATAACCAGTGATAGCCTCATATATATATATATATATATACAAAGTTTCAGAAAAACCCTGAATCATTCATATATAGTCGGTAACAAAATTACCGTAACATTTTTTTTTTTTCATTTTCTTATTGTTCTTAAATCTTGCCATTTTTAACTGACTTTGTGAATAATGTTGGTTGTTTTGTACTTCTTTGTGGTGAATTGGAAAGTTTTGTATTCCAAATTCAATTCAAATGGAAATTTTCCAAACTGAAAGCATTCCACTCAGGCTGTGTAGTTTGCATGGTACATGAAAACAATGATCAAAATATAGTCTTTCTAGTATTTCATTTTGGAAATGACTGATTGATCTAATTATATCTGATATTACCATGTATGCGTAGTAATTGTGTGTCATCAAATCACCTGCTGTAAAACCCTCAGATTGTTCTTATAGATCAAAAATTCTGATTGGATTTTGCAAGTTTTGATTGAAAAAGAAAAAAATTACCGTACACATTACAATGTTGTTAGTAAAGTTCTCATGATGAAACTGTTAATTGTTTTCTCCAGTGTGTATATTTCAATCCATTGTCTGAGATGGGTATAGATATACAACTACTACAACATGTAATTTTTTTATTTCAAATGCACTTTGACAAAATTGAAATTTTTCTGTCTCTTTTTATGTGTCACCTTGGTAACATAATTCGACTGCCATCGTTACCTATTAACCTTTTCACCACTAGACTTTCTCGCCAAATTTGTCTGCACTTTTGTTCTTATATGCTTCCATATTTTTTAGTAATGAACCTTAATTTTGGAGCCAACAGACAAAATTTGAGTCAATTTTCAGTTTTTACTCAAAAAAATTTGGCTATTTTTGTCTCAATCTTCTGAAGGAAAGTGCAGACTATAAACAAGATTATTTTATGAATTTGTGATTAAAAGAGGGAACTGGTGGGGGAAAGGTTAAAGGTACCATTAAAATCAATCTGTGGACAGATTAATATTAAATAACAAAAAAAATGATTACTGGTATCTTATAAAGTCACATTTGGAATAATTTCTTGTAAAACAAGTTTTAACTGTATTCTGATATACTGAAACTATATCATGTGTCTTTTAACTTTTGATTGCGGGCTACTTTCTCTCTGCTCAATGTCTCCCATTCCAAAATGGTTTTATGGCAGTTAGTGACCAAAATTTATAGAAGACATTTTTCCCTACATTTGGGGGGGGGGGGTACCAAAATGTTTCTTTATAATAACATTTATTGTGTTATGAATATTTTCTATTGAAATACACCAACTGAATACTTTCCAATAATTTAAAAATATTAACATTTGCTTTTTACATCAAGTCTTCATAGTAATTCTTTGAATTGTCCAGAAAAAAAAATAGATTTTCTGGTTGAAATAGGTCAGTAATTTGTACCAGTACATGTTTGTTGAATTTTTTTTTTTGTGTTGCACATTTTTAAAATTGATTTTTATTAATATTCTTTCCCATACATACAATTTTGTTTTTACATGTGTGTTATTTTGTGAAGTTTGGAAAAGTTTATTTTGTTTCTTCTAAGTTATTTTACTCCATTTAATTTTGTTGTTGTTTAGTGTCAATGTAAGTATGTGATACTGAGTAAAATCGTTTCAAACAAAGAATTGTGTGTAAACAGAACCACTGTGTGTACTGTGCAGTTGGAAACAGTATGGTAACATCACATATTTACTATATGGGGGCCACCATCTTGAATATGCTATTAAACTAAATAAAGAGATATCCTCGGGGTGGACATCCGGGCATTTTCATCGCTTGGCAACCCTCACGGTGAAAACAAAGGCCAAAAACTCACAGAAAAAGGTACTTTGGGGTGATTGTTGAGACTCCTCTGAACAGTGTAACAAGATTAGCCCTACGTGTGTAACATATATAAATTTGGTTGTTCAGGATTACTTCAAAGTTGAGTTTGTGTTGTTTTCTCGAATTTTCACCGGCTCGACCGTCGTTCCACAGCAGCTCGCACAGAGCCCATAGAAATGCATGGTACAGTGGTGCGCGTCTTAGCAACGTGGAACGTCTGTGACGTAGCTCCGCCCCCGAGGATACCCGGTATATTTAGTTTCTAAATATTTAGTTTCATGCCGTGCGCCAGCTGATTATGGGTAATATACATATTGAGCGGCAATGATTGTAACACTGCGATGTATGTATGTATGTTTCACTATAGCCTAATTAAGAAACCCTTTTCCATTCTACCAAGAGTCTTTGTTAAATTGGCGCCATTAAAGTGATGTCATAAGATGTTCATTGGTTTCCGGCCTATTCTCAGTGTGTGTGATTAGACTGGGCCAGCTGTGGCAATATTTGGTCCGATGGAAATTTAGCATCGACGCGGGAGATTCTACATTCTCGTTCTTCAGGGAATTATATAAAACAACAAAATTGTTGCGTCTATGTGTGATGGACACAGAATTTCATCCTCTCAGGATAGCTCCTCCAGTCTTTGTCGTAGATGGCGCTTTACACATACATGGGGTGCTAATTATCAATTAATTGTGGAAACATGTCAGTCAATGCATGAATGCCGTCCATATATGGCGAAATTAGGATACAGTACATTTTGGATCTCTTAGTCTGGTC